TGAGGTTATATCAAGACTTGTATTATCAAAAACAATTGAATTCCTTGCTTTCTAAATAGACCAAAAAACTACTCCCAAGATGAATTTCCATATGTGCGAATTAGCAAAGACAAGTTCAAATTCCCCCACTTTCAACTTAGAATTCGAATTATAAGCTTTTTTGAAATAATCCGAGACATGGGCCTTAATCTGAACTGGATCTGTCAATTCCACAACATCCACCTTCAAAGCGTTAATGGCATTGATTCTGTTTCTGTTCAAGGCACATAAATGAAAAAACCTCATGTTCCTATCTCCCTCTTTAACCCATCTTAGTATAGACTTCTGACACCAAATTCTTTCCTCTATTCTGTGCAGTCTCCATAACTCGCTTCTGAAAAACAGCAATCGGTTCCGATCTTGAGGAGAAAAACCATCACTTTGTGACTTCAATTCCAATTCATTTATTTTGCATTCCAATTCTGAAATAGACTCTGAGATCCCCATATGTTTACAGCTGGACTAACTCCTTATCTTCTTTTTAGTGCCTTTTAGTATGTTGAAAATTCTCCTACATCCATTTTTCTTCTTCAAATCAGTCAAGGAAGTTTCAACCAAATTATCGAAATCTTCTTCCTTTAATAGATAATTAAAAAATTAAAAGGTTTGGGGGCCCAGTTATACCCATCTTCTTCCAGCACAATAGGATTATGGTCAGAGAGAGATTTAGGTAGAATTCGTTGGATCATTTTTGGGAAACCATGTAGAAAAGTGCCACTAACCAAAAAACGATCCAATCTTACCCACGTTGGAGACTCTCGATTGTTGCGCCAAGTGTAACTACCCCCTAATAAAGAAAGGTCTAGTAGATTTGTTTGATGAACAAAAGATCTGAGCAAATCTATGGCATGTCAATTCTGCGCAACTCCATATTTCTCTGCTGAATTAAGATAAGCATTAAAATCACCCCTATGCATTCTGGAAGGTTTAAGCTTGTAACAAAACTCAACAGTTCCCTAAAGAACTCCTCATTTTCAGCCTCAACAGATGGGTCATACACATTAATTAATACAAACTCAAACTTAGACAACTTGAACTTCCCTGAGATTGCTATAAATATGCTATTATTGTCTTCTCTTGTAACTTGAAATAAGTTTTCATTCCATAAACAGATCAAGCCTCCTGCAAACCCATCAGCTGGATAAAAACATTCACCTTGCAGTAGCTTACCCCCTAATCTTCTTCTTAATCCGTTAAAACACTGATTCAGTTTCGTCTCTTGTAAGAATAGGAAAACAAGTTTATTCTTATTTACAAGTTGGGTCACTGCTCTTATTTTTTCCCTTTCTCCCTAAACCCCTTATGTTCCATGAAATTATTTTAAGATATGACATTGGAATATTAAATCTTAAAAACCCAAAATAAGAAGAATAAAATTACACCATTTCTTTCGCAGACCCCTCCTTTCCATCTTCATTATCTCCTCTTCTAAGATTTGTTGCCCCCCTTTAAAAGAAATCCTCATGAGTAGCAGCTGCTTCTTCATTCGCTTTAATATAGGAGTGAGACGACTTTGAAGAGGCCTTGTCCTATTACAGAGAATCCTTGACCTTACTTTTATAATCTCTTCTATAGACTATGTCAAAGAAACTAATTGATCTACTCCCCTCCGAGCATACACTTCCTGGATGACGGGGAGAGATTCTGGTATGATTTTGATTGCTTAAACTTTTCGATCAAGCTAGAGTCGACACTGTTTTTATCAAAGGATTTTTCTCTCGGTTCACCACCTTATTTGCACTTGAACCCAAAGTCGAGTTACTACCCCTAACCTCCTGAAAAACTGTCCTTTGATGTAATGATTCCTCTCCCACACCAATGTAGACCGGATTTGTCTTACAGGGACAATCCTTAACGTTAAACATCTTTGCATTAGAATCCAACTCTCCTTTTCGATTCAAGACTTGTAACTGCCTCATTCCAAGAGTAGTATTTTTTTATAAGAGTTTAAGGTCTCGTTAAAAAACCTCTTCATGATTAATAGAGCTCGTAAAAAAGCTCATTAATCAGCGGAAGGAGGAAAATAGTGCCTTAAAATTTCATTAATAGCATAAAAGATACATAAAATATTACATAACCTAGAATGACCCCTTACAGAATAACTTGAAACCCAAAAATAACAGCCCCTAACATCAACACAAAACTCAGCCTATTCCAGCTTTAGCTAAGGCATCATCCTCTAAGTTAGTTATCCTAGCAACCCATCTAATAACACCCTCAAAATCTTTAAGCCTATCAACGATGTCTTTTACAATAACATCATACACATCTAGACATAATTCAACATTCTTAATCTAATCCACTGCCACCTTACTATCACTTTCAATTATCAATCGACCCCTGATAAACCCTCAGAAAGAGACAAAGAAAGATACCCTTTTGAATAGCTTTAAGCTTCATCAAGGTAGGAGGACACGAACTAGCAAACTCCTGGAAAAAACCTAAGATCGAACTTGTATCATCTCTTAAAATGCCACCTAAATCACTTCTCTTCCAGTCACTGCTAGAAGCAGCATCTACATTCATTTTAATGAAGCCCTTAGAAGGAGGAGACCAAGGAATCTTAGAGACAATCGATTTATTGAAGGAAGAGCATGAATCCCTTAGGGAATGATCACTGATAAGAAGATCCTTAGGAATAAAAGTTTCATTAACCTTAGCTAGGAACCAAGAAGCAAGCCTATATCTTGCTAAGAAAAATAATTCGATCTGTTTAACTTCCCCCCTTCGAACACAATGGCATTCCTAACTTTCCAAATGGTCCAGATAACAACCCCTGGAATAAATGACTAGATAGCAAAGTTGGTCTTCAAATCTTCCCAGGCTTGGAGAAATCTCTTAGCATTTGCATGAAAAAATAGAATTGAGCCTCCAAAACTTCATAAATTTATTTCATAATGTCCACGCAATTGAACAAGTAAAAAATAAATGTGAGGAAGACTCCTCCAACTTGCAAAGTGGGCATAAAACATCTTCAATATCCAGAACCCCTCTTTTAACCAATTATAACTTAACTGCCAGCTTCTGAAGAACAACTTGCCACACGAAAGACTCTACTCTTGGATTTTGACTCAAATCTTGCCCCACCTGAAGGATCTTTATCTAACTCCCGTTCTCCCTCTATTGCAACTTCTACATGAGTATCTTGTTCTTTATTACATTGCAACAGAAACTGACCCTTAATATTTTATGTTCCTACCCCAACCCACTTTAAATTAAATGCGACCCTGCTGGTTTAATTTTCTGGGCTGGATAAGTTGGTTCATCATTATCTTCCAAATGGGCCTTAGGATCCGTATCCAAATTTTTCCTCAGACCCAGACCCGCGAAATCCCCTGTGATTTAACACATTTTCAAAATCTTCTGACAACCCATTATTAAAAGGTTTCGTGGTTGACTTCCTCAACATCGACTATCCCCCACTTACCTCTATCAAACCACTTTTTTGTACTTGATTCAGCCACATGACCACCTTCTTACTAGACTCCTCAGAAAACTCTCGACTCTCATTTGCCTGCCGTGTGGGGTGCCGCCGCCTTCTTCCTCCGACAGGACATCTTCATTGGACCAATTTTCTGAAAATTTTTCCATCGGCTCCCCGAAAAATTCATCAGATTTTTTAGAAACTGAACCCAAAGTGATCTTAACTTTAAATGATCTACCATAAGATCCTAAAGTGATCGATTCAGGAACTTCAAAAGGGCTCGCCACCCTGATCAGGATTTTCACCGATGAAAGATCTACTCTTCTTTTTGTCTCCTCTTTAATATATATGAACTTACCCCACCTCCCAGCAAGTTTCTCTCGAAATGCCCCATTCCAACACAACAGAGGGATTCCATATAATTCCACCATACAAAACGTTAATGGAATACCATTATCATTCAACAATGGATCTAACCATTCGAACCAAAAAAATAACTCCCCTTGTTTTTGCACGCTTATGAAAACTCCTCTATTGACTTGAACGTAATGATGCAAGAATTCCAAACATAACCCCAGCTTGCTATTCTTACTTCCATACCCTCATTCGCCAATGCTTTCTGGACCAGTTCCTGCTCAAATAAGGATTTAATTATTCCTGTTAAGGACCTCTTCACCCAATCCGATTCTTCAGTAGGAATGTGCATTTCCCATACGTTCTTCAGTCCTTTTGTAGCCTTTGATGCACTCTCCCTATTCCCCTTGACTATTTCATAACGCATTCTGCTATCCGTATTCAGAACATCTTTGTATGTTCTGCCATCCCTCAGACTTCTCATAGGTTCAACCTCTCCCCCGTTTATTATTTTTCCTCTTTTTTCCTCTTGGAGCTTTCCATATGATTCTTGCCTTCTACATCTATTCTTTTCCGCGTAAATTGGTATTTTTCTATCCCCACTGTAACTCTTTTCCCATCAATCCACGTTCCATTGACATGCTGGATAGCTTTCCTTCGACTTTCTTCACTCGCAAACTGAACAAAAGCAAAAGTTGAAGTTTTATATTTTGGTTTCTCATTAAAACTAGGGATGAAGATCCTCATAACACGGCCATGATGATTGAATAACTCCCTTAGTGCCCCTCTTGATACCCTCTTACTAAGGTTATCAACGAATATTGTCCATTCCACATCGGAGACAGTGTTTCCATTCAAATTTTCTCTCTCTCACTCTACCTCTCTCACTCATTCTCTCTCAATAAGTCACTTTGTATAATTTCACTCCGTAATTTGAAATTATGGTTCTTTTAATTAATAAAATTTGAGGCACTCTTATCCTCCTACCGTTGTTTACTGGAATTCCCTATAGTGTTCTAGAAATTATGAAGGGGATTTTTAACGAGACCTCCATTTCTTATAAAAAAATTAAACATGTAGATTGCATGCTAATGTAAATCAAAACATTTTCCTTTTCCTCCTGCCTATAAATCTAGTGATAGCAGAAACCAGGGCCCTAACACTAGCAAGTAGCAATTTCAAATTATCTCTCTAAAAGAAACACAGCTTTAGCTCCATCCAAATGTATTTTAAATTCCAATTTCTGCTGCAAAATAGCGGATGCAATTTCCCCACTGCTTGATTTTAAGTGATCAAATTTGAGACTGCAGAAATAATAAGCAAGCATCCTCACTTGATAATTTGAAGGGTTGTCTTCTTTGCCACTTGGTCCTCTAAAAGGAAGCAGCTTAGCTTTAGGTTTCTCTAAAGAGAAAACAACAGGAATTCCACCCTCAATCGCATGATCTTTCCTTAAACGGTGTCTTACCTATAAGCAAGAATTTAACAAGGAGATAAGGAAACAATAGCAGGAAATGAACCCCCTAAGCAATGTTTTCTAATGTAATAGATGAACAAGCCCAAAATTGGATCAACAAATTTAACAAACAGGTGCATAAGATATTCAAGATTTTCAAAACCAAATGAAATCTATTTCACCAAGATCCCCTAAGTAAACACCAATCATAAGATCAGCAACTCCAAAAGCCACCTTTCAGAATCCAAAAACAACTTAACTATATTCAAAATCAATAATAAAATGACATATTTTTCGTATTTCCATTTTTCTCCTCTCTCAACTTTCCATTTTTCTATTCTCCCTACTAAGCAAAGCCTTAAAATAATTCTCAAACAAAATACAGTTTGCATCTTAAATAATATACCAATTTAGATTCACATGAGCACATCACATATCATTGCAACAAAATCTAACAATTCCATTTCATATGTATTAGAACGAAACAGAAGTTTAAAATAATTAATTAAATAAATTAATGGATACCATGAAACAAAGGTGCCACCAAAATAAAACAAAAAAAAAATTGAAGTACAAAGACAGAGATAGGCAAATAAAAATATCTCAACAAGCCACAGTTTTGAGAATTGAAACAGGGCCAAGAGGTTACAACTCTAGATAATGGATCATTTGTTGACTCTCTTAAATCAGCCACGTGAATTCTTGTTGGATCAGCTCTCGCACCAGCTCCTGTTGCAGATAGTACCTTCAGACCTCCGTGTACACAGGCAGCAAGAAGTGCCACCTATTACAAGAGGAAAAATGGTCATCTTAGGTAGAATTTCTGCAATTACAACAATCTGAGTAGTTCCAAAAAGGCTTAATATACAAGGTGGTACTTGAATGTCACTTTTTTTCCAAATGTGTTACCTGTGTTCTCTTTAGTCAATTATGTACTTGAATGTCTTTTTCTCTAATTTGATACCTGAATTTTTCATTTTTTCTATGTGATACATGTGATGATGATGTGGCATCTCTCAACCAATGAGGTTGGGACACATGGCAAAAATGCCACATCAGAAAAGTTAAAATTGATAATTTCAAGTACCACATTAGAAAAAAAGTGCCGAATGCAGGTACCACATAAGAAAAAAATAACAATTTCGGGTACGAAATTGGATTAAAAAACACAGGCACCACATTAAAAAAAGTGACAAATTCAGGTACCAAATCATATATTAAGTCATTTAGAAACAACGTTTTAACCAGACGGATTATTAGCAATCAGCTGGAGAAACTATGTCGCTTGCTTACCCATGCTTTAGACGAGTTCAATTTCAAACAAGCATAAAGAAGGATTACCCATACTCTAACATAATAAACATATATTACATAAAATTAAAACATAAAATGAACCGCATAAAGAAATTAGGATTTGTATATATAGTCAAAAACCATTTGACTGCAACATTATATAAACTTATACCCTGTAGGTAAAACTGAAAGTCCATGAGTTATGATCACACCTTTGTGTCAATGTTGTCAATGCAATCCAAAACAAAATCAGGGTTGCCAGAAAGAATTTCTTCTTCGGATGACACATCATATAGGAGCACCTTTGCATCTACTTGGCACTCAGGGAAGATTAGAGAGAAATGCTTCTTGAGGCACTCTGCTTTAGGGATACCAACATCTGCTCTTGTTGCAACAGCGTGTCTATTTAATGATGAAAGAGATACCTTCTCGTATAATCAAGAATAAGTACAGATTTCTTATTAATAGAAATTAATGCAGATGAATTTTTAAAGAAAATACATGCTTTACATCCACATCCGAGTCCAACTTACAACATTATCGGCTCCTCGCACTAGCAAAGCAAAATTCGTATATGCAAATTGATGGAAAAGTTCTATATAATATTATTACATTGAATCTTTGGAAGTTCCAAAAGGAGCAAGCCATGAAATAATGATGTCACAAGAAAGTTGGAATCCAGTTTTACCCATAACATTCAATTTAATTGGCACATCCTATTATATAAAGATTGTAATGACACAGGCAGCAAGTTTCTGGTTTTTTCCATGGGCAAATTTGTCCAAATTTCATTAACTTCCACTAAGCTATAACATAAGAGAATGTTTGGATGAAGGCTTCCACGGAAGATATTTATTTCTAAAAACAATTTCAAAAAGTAAAATCAAATTATTTAGTTTGCCAAAATTTTAAAAAAAATGAAATTTGCATGAGGGATTTTGAACACTAGAATATCTCATCTCAAATCGCACTTGAGGTGGAATTTATAAAATTCTTTTGTTTTTAAGTAAGATATCAACATCTATTATGTTTCCAAATTTTTGAAGTCACAATATTTTCCAAATAATTTAAATTTTGCGGAAATTTAAGAACGTGGAAATAGATGCAATAAATGGTGGGCCCAAGGAAAATAACAAATGACACATCAATTTTGATCGACCAGCAATTCGCAATTCTAGCTTAAGACAACTTGCAATAGAGAAGAAAAACTGCATGCAAAATTTGGATAAATATGCAATATACTAGCAAAGCCAAAATATTTAATAATGGATTATTGTTAGATATAAGATACCTGGTCAAAGTCCACCAATAGGAGCTTGCCAACTCCTGATCTCAAAAGCATAGATGCAGCATGACTTGCTACACCTCCAAGACCAATGACCATGACATAGGATGTTGTAACCTTTCTTGAGAGTCAAGGCCAAAGAACTGGATATTCCTAGCAACAAGCAACAAAGATATATTCGCTTACCATATGGATATTGGTTAATGTATGACCATAAATTTTTAGATGGATAGGATGGGAAAGAATCAGCAAGTAACAAATTCATCACAAAAAATTAATTCCAAAAAACATGACACTCTTTAACTTGAGTTACTGGAAATGAAAGATGATCAGTGAGAAGAGTGTGGATGAGGGTGAAAGGGGTAGGAAGCGTCAACAAGGACAGAAAAAAGGAATGTTAGAGCCAAGATGTTTAGCAATTTACATGAACTTTAAACACCTGGTCCATATGTTATAAGTTACTCATTAAGATCAATTATCCACAAAAATTAAGGTCTAGCAGTAGTTTTAAAAAGAATGTAGGTTTTGACTAAAACACTAAAATGTGTCTAAAATGAAAGTAAAATAGTAAAAGTATAAAAATCTAAAAGGAAAAACTTTCAAATAATATATATAGTAGCTAGATGAACTTAAACAAGCCAAGCTCACCTATAATAAAGCACGGCTCAGTTTTTTTATGATAGTAAAGCATGGCTCACTTGTTGAATGTGTTTAAATTTGTTTATTTAATTAGTAACAGCACATAAACAATCTAAACTTGAGCTGATTCACAAACTATTCAACCAACATTTTTGTTATGTTACAGCCCAAGTGTAGAAGTTCTACATAGCTACTGGGTTTCTGCTTATTGTGGAGGGTTTTGTTCCGAAACCTCAATTATTTTGATCCAGAAATTCTCCCACTTGTTGAAAGTTGCCAGGTTGATCATACACATAAAAATCTTGGTTATAGCAAGATTCATATATAGTATGATAATATATCATAGAAATAAACATTTTTCATAAGTCCATATAGAGAGAGAGTATTGCACATGCTATACAAGCACAAAAAGACCTATACTCTCACCTTTGACTTTCAGCTTGTCTTGACAAGTGAGAATACAAGATTTACGGAAAACATGGCCTAAGAGCTTGAACAAAAAAAACACAATTCTCATGTAGCATTTTAATTTCGTAAAGAGGGTCAACTTTGAAAACATCGTTCAGCCATAAACCTCAAGTTAAAGAGATTTACCTAGTCAGTTGTTCAGAAACTATTTCATCTGCTAGAAGGTTCAAGCCAGCCAGCCCACAATTTCCATTTCCAAGATCGATCGCGCATTTGACAGTTGTGTCTGATGCAATTCCAATCCCAGAAATAACAATCAAAGAAATGGAACAAAAACATTTTCGCCAACTTTCTAATATCATACAAAAAGCCTAACGAGAAAGAGTTCAAATTTGAATGGTAAATGATGTTGAAATTTTAAAATAACACATAATTAACAAATATGATTATCAAATCTAGCATGCTTAGCCTTCTGTATGCGCTGTAGGTCAATTAGAGCATCAATGATCAAACACAAGAATTAAAAATTAAAATAACTGCAGCTTTTCATCACTTGTGACAAGCATACTACACAATCAAACAACAATCACCACATCATGCAAGTTTCCTTAGAAGTATCTAGCCAAAAGAAAATGACAAAAGCCATGAATTTTACTGTAATTCACTCTTATTAAACGTGTAGGAAACTTACAATTATATATACAAGCCTAGGCCTTATCTTAGGTAACTTCTAAACTAGGTAAGAGACTAATTCTAGTAATAAAAAGAATCCCTTAGATTTAGGGATACCAACTAAATAGAATATTTACAAATCCAACCCAATCTTCTTAACTTAGGTAACTAATCTCTGACACTCCCCCTCAAGATGGGAGCATGGATATCTTTCATCCTCAACTTACCTGTTAACTTATGAAAATACTTACCAGGTAGACCCTTGGTAAGTATGTCTGCAACTTGATCTCCAATGGTCACATAGGGAGTACAGATCAGGCCATTGTCAAATTTCTCTTTTATGAAATGTCTATCCTCTTCGACATGTTTTGTTCTGTCATGTTGAATTGGATTATGAGCAATGTTGATTACTGACTTGTTATCACAGTAGAGTTTCATTGGTCCATTCCACTTTACCTTCAAGTCTTCTAAAATAATTTCAGACATAATAACTCACGAATTTCCAATGTCATAGCTCGAAATTCAGCTTTTGCACTTGATCTAGCCACCACATTCTGTTTTTTGCTTCTCCAAGTAACTAAGTTACCTCCAAAGAAAATGCAATAGCCTGAAGTTTACCTTCTATCAATTATGAATCCTGCATAATCTGCATCCGTGTATGCTTCCAGAGTCATGTTTCCCCCTCTTGTAAATAGAATTCCTTTGCCTGGTGTACCCTTCAAGTATTGCAAAATTTGGACTACAACCCTTAGGTGTGATTCCTTGGGATTGTGCATGAATTGGCTCACAACCCCCAACAACATATGCTATGTTTGGTCTGGTGTGTGACAAATAGATAAGTTTTCCCACGAGTCTCTGAGAAAAACATCTGTCAACTGTCATATCATCCTCCTTTAAATCTCCAAGCTTGTGATTGACTTCTATAGGAGTTTCTGCTCGTTTACATCTTAGTTTTCCAGTTTCCTTCAACAAGTCCGAAGTATACTTCTGCTGAGATATAAAAATCCCTTTCTGTGAGTGAGCCACCTCAATATCAAGGAAGTATTTTAATCTTCCAATGTCCTTCACTTCAAACTCTTTTATAAGACACTTCTTTAAATTACCAATTCCTTCATAATCATTACCTGTAACAATTATATCATCTACATACACCAACAGTGTAGTTACTCCCCCTGAAAAAGAGTATTTCACAAATAGAGTATTATCACCTTGACTCTATTTGAAGCCTTTTTTCTAGCATTACTTTAGTAAATCTCTCAAACCAAGCTCTTGGTGATTGTTTTAGTCTATAAAGAGTTTTTCTCAATTTACACATTGCCTGTCTAGTATTCAAACCAAATCCAGGTGGAATATCCATGTAAACTTCTTTAAGGTCCCCATGCAAGAAGGCATTCTTGATGTCAAACTGCTGCAAATTCCATCCCTGAATAACTGCTAAGGACAGTAGGATCCTCACTGTGTTCATCTTTGCAACAGGGGCAAAGTTTCAAGATAGTCAATTCCATAGGTTTGAGAGTACCTTTTTGCCATCAATCTTGCTTTATACCTTTCTAGAGAACCATCTGATTTATACTTGACAATAAATACTCGTCTGCATCCCACTGTTTTTTCCCTTCTGGTAGCTTCACTAAATCCCATGTCTTATTTTTCCCCAACGCCTTCATTTCCTCTTTCATAACCTGTCCATTTCTCATTTTCTAATGCGTCAGATACTGTTTTAAGAATATCAATGTCATTTAGGCTAGTAAGGAAGGTTATGTGATTGTGATTGTGATTGGTATTTAGGTTTTTGTAGGTCAAAAACATATAGGTAGGATGTTTGGTGGTGTTGGTTCTTTTTCCTTTTCTAATTGCAATGGGAAATTCAAAATCAGAAGCAAATATAGTATTTTCAATATCACTTTGTTCAGAAAGAGTTTAAGAGTGTACCTCAAATTGTATAGGAGCAGGAGAAAGGGGATGATTGAATCTACATATGTGCCTTCTTCCTCAAATAGACCCTTAGGGGACAAGTAGTGTTCTAAATATTGGGTTGTAGTGTATTAATGTTTGGTTGAAGAGTGGAAGTTTGAGGAGTACTAGGTTCTGACTGGGGAGAGAATGAAGTAGAAGCATGTTGTGTTTCTGTAGAATGTTTAGATATAGGTGTAGAAGCAGACTATGTTTCTGTAGAATGTATAGGTATAGGTGTAGATGTAGGAAGATCAACAAAGGGCTGAAGTAAAAAAAATTTTGCATCTTTATCTTCCCTAAAATATATCTCCCCTGAAGATAAGAAACTTTAAAATAACTCTCTTTTTTCAACAAAAGTGACATCAGTAAAAGTGTAGTATTTTCTTGTAGGAGAGTAGTAGCACTTGTAGCCATTTTGAGTAGAGGAATACCCAATAAAAATGCATTTCAATGCCCTTGGATCAAGTTTTCCTTAGCCTTGAGAATGAATGTGAATAAAAGTAACACACCCAAATACCCTTGGTTTTAGGTTAAGAGATGGACTGAAATCTGGAAAAAACTTTGTAAGGGTTTGAAGTGGACTTTGGGGTTCAAGGATTTTAGTTGGTAGTTTATTTATCATGTAAGTGGTAGTTAACACAACTTCTCCCCAGTACCTTTTAGGGACATTGTTTTGAAATAAAATGGCTCTAGTTATGGCAAGAAGACTCGTGTATAATACCTCTTTCTAAGAAATAAGGAGACAAGACTTGATTAAAGTAGTCCTTGGCATTGTCTGTTCTGGTTTGTTTTATTTCATCCCCAAACTGAGTCTTGATCGTGGTATAAAAGGTTTTAAAAGTAGAGGTAACATCAGACTTCTGTTTTAGTAGATAAATCCAAGTAACCCGAGTATAATCGTCTATAAAAGACACAAACCATCTAGCACCAGTTATGTTAGGAATAGTGGAAGGCCTCTAAACATCACTGTAAATAAGGGTAAAGTGAATGTTGGTCCGCTTATTACTTGCTGGAAAAGAGGAACGTTTATGCTTTGCAAATTCACAAACTTCACAATGAAATTCTTCAATATATAAGGAATTACACAAGGAGAGAAACATAGTTTTTAAGAGTCTAAAAGGCAGGTGACCAAGACGAAAGTGATGCAGCCAGATTTAATCTTTATTGGTTGTAGATTCGGATAAAAAAGACAATGGTTGAGTATTCAAAACTCTAGCTAGTCCACTAAGGTTTTCGAGGTAGTATAAGCCATTTATTTCCCTAGCACGCCCAATCATCCTCTTCGTTACATGCTCCTGAAAAATACATTGTGTAGGATGAAATAAAACACTGCAGTTAGTTTCTTTGATAAGCTTTGGAATAAAGATAAGGCTAGTAAATAGTTTTGGCACATGTAGGACATTTTTAAGCAATAGGGTTTTACTGATGGCAATATCTCCTTGGCCAGCAACCGTTACCATAGTACCATATGCAACTGTGATTTTCTTGCTGCTAGAGAAGGGTATATAGGTAAGGAATTTTAGTGATAAATTAGTCATGTGATCAGTGGCTCCTGAGTCAATTACCCAGGAGTTTTGGGTAGGTATGTGGGTTGATGATTCCAAGGCATTAGAATTTTTAGAAGAGGAAGAAGATATATCTGAGAAAACTAGATTGCATGTACCTGTAAAGGATGATTTTTCTAAGGACTCCAGTAGGTTCTTCAATTTTTCTATTTCTTCCTGGTTGAATTCAATAGATTGGTCATCAAACTCCTTAACCACATGTTTAGTTGCATAAGCTCTGCTTTGTCCTCTTGTTGAGCCTCTTTTCTCTGTGAAATTCTTATTTGCAATCTGAGGCTTTCCATGTAACTCCCAGCACTTCTCTTTGGTTTGACGAAGTATTTTGCAGTAAGTACACCATAAGGAGTCCTTGTTAATCGCCCTTCTTCCTTCTGATCAGCCTTCAATATTTTGCTGCTCCAGACGATTTGGTCCCTCGAGAACAACCCTAGTAACCAAGGCTGAACTTTCTACTTGATTATTTTCAACCACCATCACTCCTTTTCTTCTTTCTTCAGCACGAATGATAGCAATAGTTTCATTAAGTGAAGAAAGATCTTCGTTTCCTAAAATCTGGACCCTGACTGCATCAAATTCTATATTTAGTCCAGCAAGAAAATCATAAATCCTATCTTTTTCTACAAACCTCTTTATAATTGCTACATCCTCACTGCATTTCATCCGAATGCATTGATAGTGGTACATTTCCTGCCACAAATTCTACAGCATATTAGAATATTCTGTAATTGATTTGCTTCGTTGTTTAGTGGCTAAAATCTTACTCTTGATTGCATAAACCTAGGCAACATCTCGAACCTTCGAATAGGTTTGTTTTACAGCCTCCCATATCTCCTGGGTTGTTCCAAGAAACATACAGGTGTCATTAATTTCAGGCACCATCGAATTCCATAACCAAGACATAACCAATGAGTCTTTTTCATCCCAAGCCTCAAATCTCGGATCTCCTTCCTTAAGACACGTTTCGAGGAGATGACTAAGTTTACCTCTCCCTTTTAGAAAAGTCCGAACCAATTGTGACCACTTAAGGTAGTATTTTTCCATTTAATCTATAAGCGGCTTGTATGTTTTGTAAGTCACTTATCGAATTAGAGTGACT